TATTTGACAACAACAAATTACAGAACCTGTTAATCAGATCGAACAACCATATAGTAAATGCTCAATTTGCAAAATGACCATCAATTGTGTGAAAATGGCGCACACTTCATTGTTCATGTATTTTCATATAAATTGCATTCTCATTCCATTGCTTACTGTTCGATCCTCTTGTCTCTCTGCTGCCAGACATTCTGTTCCTGACTAGCGTCATATACTACTTATGTCAATATAACTAGCATACACCACAATACGACTCTTTCGTCATTTTACAATTTATAAATATCATTTGATTTACAACATACAAACTAAAGAATTCAAGTTTCAAAGATGATCAATTAAAGCCTAACAAAACCCATTAGTAATATCTTTCATTATGATGATAGTCAAGTTAATTTTTAATTTTTTTGCTGAATATTAACTTCTTCACGATTCCAGACACATCGTGTCTATGTGTTCCAGTTAGAACAAAATCATAATCCGGAAGGTATTGTCTTTAACCGAATAACAATAAATCATACTAATATCATTTTAGATTCACTTGCTATTGTTTTACTTGAACCTTCCCATTGATGTTTAAGAGTGCAATTGATCAATCAATCTCTTATTGGCATATGTGTATACTGTGCTTATTGCCTCTATATAGAATCCTGGTTTCCACTGTTAGCCACTATACATTTTTGCTTATATCATTTTAGTTTACACATTTGTCAAGTTATTTAGTTTAACAGTTTCAAGTTACAATTGAATGGATTAAATTTAATCAGTAATTAGTGCCAGATAACAGAAAACTAGTTAGATTAGATGGTGGTTGGAGATAGTCGACAGGAAACCTTGGACCCAGGTTTCGTGCTAATTGGCACTGGTCAGCAAAGTGTACCTGTAATCTTTGAGGGAACTGATGCTCCTTGGAAGATTCGTTCCCGTGTCACCCAGCTTCACAGTCAGAGACGTTACCACTGAGCTATCCGGGCCGCGACCGGCCTCCTGTAGGACTGAGATGTAATCACAATTGATTGATCACTGGATGGTGACCAATGTCATGCGTGTCTAGTCCTTAATATTTGTGCAGATCGAATGCTATCGACCATGTTGCAATATGGTCAACAGTCTCTGACAGTGAAGCTGGATGACACGGGAACGAATCCTCCAAGGAGCATCAGTTCCCTCAAAGATTACAGGTACACTTTGCTGACGAATGCCAAGTAGCATCAAACCCGGGTCTAAGGTTTCCTGTCGACTACCTTCAACCACCATCTAATCTCACAATAGTGCTCGCAGTGTCCAGTCATCTAAACTGGTGGCCACATTGAAACTTGGTTGATAGCATTCGATCTTCACTAATAATAAGGACTATAACACTCATGACATTGGTCACCACCCCAGTGATTAATCAATTGAGAAAACTAGTTACCATTTGAGAAGTATTTGGTTTAAATCCAAGGAAATATCAGTTTTCTTTTGAATTGAATTGAAACAATTATACTCATTTAACTGTAGTAAACATTATCCAAAGTAAAGTTTCTTTCATTCTATCTAATAGACATTTTATTAGTTCTATCATTCTCATATCAAACTAATTCTTGATATACACTTTCTTTTATCTCAATATAGAATCATTTTGTTCAATAGGGAAGTTACACATAGAGATTGTAGAATATTTATCCAAAATATGATTGAATGGAATATGTTCAGCTTTTACTGAACTTCGTGGATTGGTTGATGTTAGACACTAACACCATTGGATGCCGGCTCAGTGGTCGAGTAGGTTAAGCGTTCACGCGCGAGACTGAAGGCCCTGGGTTCGAATCCCGCGAGCGGGATCGTGGATGCGCACTGCTGAGGAGTCCCATACTAGGACGAAACGGCCGTACAGTGCTTCCAGGTTTCCAACGGTGGTCTAACATCAGTCGATTCATGATCTCAATCAAAAGTTTACTGAACTTCTTAAATGTTTCTTCATATTCATCCGCAAACTGTCCTCATAGTTCGTTTTAAATATTCATGTATTTCTTTATGAATAAAAACTAATTAAATTAGACTTAAGCAACTATTTATTATTCAACCAATATAATCTAATTAAGTGTATAAACAATTCATTTGCATGACTGATTTCTTGTTAAATATATATATATATATATATATATATATATACAAAAATGATAATCCTTTATTGTCTTTAAAAAGATGAAAACTGAATACCTTTTTTTTTATTTATTTAAAAAAAAACAAAAAAAAAACGACTCATTCCATCCTCTTACTCCCACCCTCACTCTTAACCTCTCCCCCACCCTCACTCTTAACCCGCTCCCCCACCCCCACCCCCAGCCTGAATGATAAAATCTAGTTAATCAAGTGTAAATTACAATTTTACTATGATTTATTGGTTAAAATTGTTCAGTTGGAAACTTATTATGTCCATGGATACTAATCGGTACTTTATGTTTATATTCTTTATTTATTTATAAGAATATCTATTGTCATCTACTTTATTTTATTTTATTTTTTTTTGATATTTAACTCGGTAATTATATAATATTACTATCAAGTTAAAGTAATAGAATAAAGTATATGTACTGTGTAGACAACATTTCCTTTGATTAAATAAAAAGAACTAATGATAGATATAGTTGTAACACTTGAATTAATTATAATTAGGGATATGGAGAAAAAGTACCAAAAAAAAAAAAAAAAACAAAAAAAAACAAAAAAACCAAACAACAAACAAAACTAGGAGAAAAATAACCTCGATTTATTTATATTTTGTTCTATTTCACTAAACATCATTTAAGTAAAACAGAAATGAAATGAGCCATCGGCAAAAAAAAAACAAAAAAAAAAAACACATTAAATATTTCATGCATAGATGAATAGTGGAATCCAGTTTCACGCACGTTTTGTTCTATTTGGGACTCGTCAGCTGGATATACCAGTATCTCAGATTTGATGTTCACTCTTTGGGAATTGAACTCAGAATTGTTTGATTCAAATGCCGTTATATTATTCACTTAACTATTGAATTCTAATAACCACTTGCTTGTGAAATGGGGTGAAGTTTAAATTCACTTGATATTGTTGTTTACTTGAATCTTCCCATTAATGTTTAGGACTGTAGTTGATCAGTCTCTCATATTGGCATATGTGTATACTGTGCGTATTGCCTCAATATTGACTTATAATTTACAAGCATTGTAAGCAAAGATGGATAGTGGCTAGCAGTGGAATCTAGTTTGACGCGTGTTTCGTCCTATTTGGGACTCGTCAGCTGGATGTACTTGCATCTCAGATTTGATGTTCACTCCGGGACTCGAACTCAGTATCATTGGCCTCAAACGCCATCACATTATTCACTTAACTACTGAATTCTAATAACCACTTGCTTGTGAAACGGAGTGAAGTTTAAATTCACTTGATAATTGTCTGTTTGAATCTTCTCATAGTCTATCCAGTTACACGTTATTTATTTCACTAGTCAATATTTGCCTGACCATTAAGAAAAATTAGAAAATCAAATTTTCATCCTCTTTCAAAGGAATATAACGTTGATACATTAATCATTGTAGACAGTCATCACATTTTCTTTTTTTAATTACAATCATAGAATAAAAACGTAGTCAGTTATATAATATACCCTTATGGGCTAGGGTAATTTTACATTGGTTTTCAGGAGAACCAAACACCATCCAGACTTTCACGTGATAACTCAAACAGTACAGCTCAATCCTGTTTAACAGAACAGCCAGACATCGCCTAGGCTTAAAGTTTGTAGCTCAAATAGTACGACTCAATCTCGTTTCCAAGAGAACCAGACACCGCCTAGGCTTAAATTTTATAAACCGAGCAGTACAGCTGAATCCCGCTTCACAGGAGAACCAGTCACGTATAGGCAATAACGCTACAATCTGAATAGTAAATTTCGATCATGTGGCGCAACCACATAGGTACCAAGCACCCTGATGGAACATTCGCACCATTCATACACACATTCACGTTATATGTATAGTTATTCCGATCAATGATCTTGTGAATAAACCATGCACATCACGAACAGGTCAAAGTTGTTCTGTCCCACTTACACGATAGTCAAACTCATTAATGTTAGCCTTACAATGTCCCAATGACAATGGCTCTTGAGAACACTGAAAAGCAACCACCAGTATGAATGAATTCGAGCGAAACTAACCGAAGGAATGTCAAATCATCCACAACATTAATGGTGAATCACCAGTCTCATATGAAACCTTCAGCTCAACATAGTAATATAAAGTTAACAGCTTTTATAGAATAAAATAAAATATCAATAGCTTTTATGTTTTAAACAAACAGAGGAAAGAAATTATAATCAGAGAAGAGGTTGTGGAGATTGTAGTAATTTAATAATTGAATTCATGAGTCAATTAAAGCTAGACTACCATGAAAAACCTGAGAGAACTGGACGGCGATTTCGTTCCAGTATGGGACTCCTCAGTAGTGCTCATCCACGATCTTTCCTCGCGAGATTCGAACCCAGTAGCTGTCAATTTAGGGTTAAAAGAAATTGTTCAAACAAATTAATCTAAATAACAAAAGAGCTCTATGGCATCATTGAAAAAGAATAAAAAAAAACGTTCAGCGAAGAATAGTCTCGGCAAGACTCATAATTTGTGAACGGACCAATCAAGTATAAGATAACAGGTCTGAGATTTTGATGTGAGATTCATTCATCCATTTGTATAAATAGACTTTTGACATTATAGTTGATATCAGTTCATGATATCAACTAACCCTAATCATCAACTGTAAATCATAATCCTTATTCTTCAAATCGCTTTATAACCCTTATTTAGTTCTAGTTATTAGGTGAACACTCTCACAGTTAGTTTAATATCGCTCATAGGTCGTGTATAACTTATAATTTCACCATAGTTACTGTTATTTTGACAGTTTCACTTATTTTAATTTAACTTATATTCAATATAAAATTTTCAAATAACACTTACTCAATATATTTTCTTTTATTTTAGCAACTAAATATAAATTTCTTACAAAAACAAGAATATCATAACAAGATTAAACATGTTCTACAAACGAATAAATGACTACATACTTCTATGTATGCTTATTACCTTCTTAACTATTTCAATATCTAAAGCAAAATACACTAAGTGTAATATTGCAGCTTGCGAGTAAGTTGATTCATTTCTTATTTCTTATTTATTTATTTAAAAACACATAAGTATTGGTATGAGGAGGCACCAAATAGATATGCGTCATATAAATCATTCAATTTGTGTGACGGATGAGATACTGCCCATGGGAGGACACACACTAAGCATTTGACCTAAGGTGATGATCCACTAGACAATGGAGCAATGTCAGCAGATTCAGTCACATGGTATGCAGTGACCAACGATCAATTCATACGCCATTTGTTCCGTCAGGATACTGGAGCCAGCCCATGTACACCATTGTTTTGAGATTAGGGTTTTCCAACTATCTTAGGTGGATCCTTCTTATCCACCAATTCGGTTAAAACGCTAGACATTCACTTTTTCTCTTCTCAATTTTGTAAACAACATCCGTGGTGCGAGAAGGCTGTGAGTAGGACTTCCTTGTCAGTGGTTACATGCACGTTATAGTTATAGTTTTCTCAAAGTTTAAGATTTTTGAGTAACCTTATAATTTAGAAATTAACATCATAAAAGACTTACAATGTTTCAATGTTTTAATTGCAGAATGATATTAGAATCTTCAAGGTACATATAAAAATTGTTACAGTAATGTCAGTCTAAGGTATGTATCACTATGCCTTACAAACTAGATATTGAATACATTTCCAGAGTATCATACAAGTAAATCTAACAAAATTAAATCCTTTATAATTAACATAATTCACTTGGTATTGTTTATTTGAATCTTCCTATTATTGTTTAGAACTGCCATTGATCAGTCTCTTATTGACATATATGTGCACAGTGTATGGACTGCCTTGATATTAGCATTACAAGCAAAAATGAATAGCGGCTAGTAGTGAAATCCAATTTGATGAGTGTTTCGTCCTATTTGAAACTCATCAGTCGGATGTGCCTGCATCTCAGAGTTGATATTCACTACACGACTTGATCCCATTACTATTCGTTTCAAGCGCCATCTGATTATCCACTTAGCTACTGATTCCTAATAACCACTTGCTTGTTCAATGGGGTGAAGTTATATTCACTTGGTGTTGTTTACTTGAATCTTCCCATTGTTATTCAGCACTACAATTGATCAGTCTTTGATTGACATATATTACCTATAGTCAAAAGGTTGGCGAGACTCTAATTCAGGGAAGACCTTTGAACGAATTTTGAGTGACCTTGAGAATATTAGCCAATCAGAAGACAGCTAGTATAACGTAGAAATATATTAGAAGAAACTTATCAAGGTTTGCTGAAGTTTCAGATGTTTTGAAATCATATTGCATACGGTATAAAAAGTCATAAATTCCAAGTACCTGTCGAGTATATTCACGGAAATGCTACTTACACAATCCTACTTTATACTACGTCCCCTGTTGTATTTTCGCTTTCTCACTGCCGTTTCATCTGTCTGCACGATACATCCTACTCCTCCGAATGATTGGTGTATACGTGTTATTTTAGTTGCACATATGTCACGGCAGTACTTATACCACTGGACTGCTGAAGTTTCATAAACAACTACAAACGCCGCATCCAGTGTTACTGGTGTATTTATTACTTAATTTGCAACTATTATCATAATCTGATTCAGTTTCAGTAGCAATCGAGCAAAGAAAGTCCTCGTTTTAGCAGACTTTCTCCTCCAACATGAAGGACAACGCAATATAATCTCACCATGGTGGTTTGCACACTTTACTGCGGTCATTTGATAACCGCAGTCTCACGTACAAGAACTTTTTAGTTATCCCATCCCTTGTTAGCCTCTCAATAATCACCCCTTCTCTAAAATCCGCTGTAAACCGATCATATGTGAGCATTTCAATGCTTAATTGTGATCATTCCATTCATCTCAGTAAATCCTCTCACAACCACACTCATCATTACTCATCTCAACAGATACACATCACACACCTCATATACTACTCAGTTCGTGATCAAACCTATGCACTAGACTGCAACACCAATAGTCAAATTGTAGTGAACAATCCAATGCTTCTGACAACAAATTACAGAACCTGTTTATAAAATCGAACAACCATATAGTGAATGATCAATTTGCAAAATGACCATCAATTATCTGAAAATGGCCCACACTTCGTTGTTCTTGTATTTCCATACAAATTGCATTCTCATTCCACTCCTCACTGTTCGATCCTCTTGTCTCTCTGCTGCCACACATTCTGCTCCTCACTAACGTCATTTACTACTTATGTCAATATAAGTAGCTCACAGCACAAATCACTTTCATCCTCCCAACTGCAGTCATGTTTCACTCACTAGAATGCACACAGCTCACTCATCACTGTCAGTTGACTGCAGTCTCCTCTGTTTCATGTGAGATGCCGTTTGTGGTGGATGCACTTCGTGGTACACTGAACGTTGATTGATCGACCGAGAAATGCACGAATCAATGCTTAATTGTGATCATTCCATTCATCTCAGTAAATCCTCTCACAACCACACTCATCATTACTCATCTCAACAGATACACATCACACACCTCATATACTACTCAGTTCGTGATCAAACCTATGCACTAGACTGCAACACCAATAGTCAAATTGTAGTGAACAATCCAATGCTTCTGACAACAAATTACAGAACCTGTTTATAAAATCGAACAACCATATAGTGAATGATCAATTTGCAAAATGACCATCAATTATCTGAAAATGGCCCACACTTCGTTGTTCTTGTATTTCCATACAAATTGCATTCTCATTCCACTCCTCACTGTTCGATCCTCTTGTCTCTCTGCTGCCACACATTCTGCTCCTCACTAACGTCATTTACTACTTATGTCAATATAAGTAGCTCACAGCACAAATCACTTTCATCCTCCCAACTGCAGTCATGTTTCACTCACTAGAATGCACACAGCTCACTCATCACTGTCAGTTGACTGCAGTCTCCTCTGTTTCATGTGAGATGCCGTTTGTGGTGGATGCACTTCGTGGTACACTGAACGTTGATTGATCGACCGAGAAATGCACAAATCAATGCTTAATTGTGATCATTCCATTCATCTCAGTAAATCCTCTCACAACCACACTCATCATTACTCATCTCAACAGATACACATCACACACCTCATATACTACTCAGTTCGTGATCAAACCTATGCACTAGACTGCAACACCAATAGTCAAATTGTAGTGAACAATCCAATGCTTCTGACAACAAATTACAGAACCTGTTTATAAAATCGAACAACCATATAGTGAATGATCAATTTGCAAAATGACCATCAATTATCTGAAAATGGCCCACACTTCGTTGTTCTTGTATTTCCATACAAATTGCATTCTCATTCCACTCCTCACTGTTCGATCCTCTTGTCTCTCTGCTGCCACACATTCTGCTCCTCACTAACGTCATTTACTACTTATGTCAATATAAGTAGCTCACAGCACAAATCACTTTCATCCTCCCAACTGCAGTCATGTTTCACTCACTAGAATGCACACAGCTCACTCATCACTGTCAGTTGACTGCAGTCTCCTCTGTTTCATGTGAGATGCCGTTTGTGGTGGATGCACTTCGTGGTACACTGAACGTTGATTGATCGACCGAGAAATGCACGAATCAATGCTTAATTGTGATCATTCCATTCATCTCAGTAAATCCTCTCACAACCACACTCATCATTACTCATCTCAACAGATACACATCACACACCTCATATACTACTCAGTTCGTGATCAAACCTATGCACTAGACTGCAACACCAATAGTCAAATTGTAGTGAACAATCCAATGCTTCTGACAACAAATTACAGAACCTGTTTATAAAATCGAACAACCATATAGTGAATGATCAATTTGCAAAATGACCATCAATTATCTGAAAATGGCCCACACTTCGTTGTTCTTGTATTTCCATACAAATTGCATTCTCATTCCACTCCTCACTGTTCGATCCTCTTGTCTCTCTGCTGCCACACATTCTGCTCCTCACTAACGTCATTTACTACTTATGTCAATATAAGTAGCTCACAGCACAAATCACTTTCATCCTCCCAACTGCAGTCATGTTTCACTCACTAGAATGCACACAGCTCACTCATCACTGTCAGTTGACTGCAGTCTCCTCTGTTTCATGTGAGATGCCGTTTGTGGTGGATGCACTTCGTGGTACACTGAACGTTGATTGATCGACCGAGAAATGCACGAATCAATGCTTAATTGTGATCATTCCATTCATCTCAGTAAATCCTCTCACAACCACACTCATCATTACTCATCTCAACAGATACACATCACACACCTCATATACTACTCAGTTCGTGATCAAACCTATGCACTAGACTGCAACACCAATAGTCAAATTGTAGTGAACAATCCAATGCTTCTGACAACAAATTACAGAACCTGTTTATAAAATCGAACAACCATATAGTGAATGATCAATTTGCAAAATGACCATCAATTATCTGAAAATGGCCCACACTTCGTTGTTCTTGTATTTCCATACAAATTGCATTCTCATTCCACTCCTCACTGTTCGATCCTCTTGTCTCTCTGCTGCCACACATTCTGCTCCTCACTAACGTCATTTACTACTTATGTCAATATAAGTAGCTCACAGCACAAATCACTTTCATCCTCCCAACTGCAGTCATGTTTCACTCACTAGAATGCACACAGCTCACTCATCACTGTCAGTTGACTGCAGTCTCCTCTGTTTCATGTGAGATGCCGTTTGTGGTGGATGCACTTCGTGGTACACTGAACGTTGATTGATCGACCGAGAAATGCACGAATCAATGCTTAATTGTGATCATTCCATTCATCTCAGTAAATCCTCTCACAACCACACTCATCATTACTCATCTCAACAGATACACATCACACACCTCATATACTACTCAGTTCGTGATCA